GTAGGGAGCTCGGGCTCTTGGCGGGGAGCTCGTGCTTTTAACAGGGAGCTCGGACTCCCAGTAGGGAGCTCGGGCTTAGTAGCGAGCTTGGACTTTGCTCTCGGTGCTTGCTTCGGGCGCTCTACTGTCCCGAGCTGCTTGTTTCTGCCACGTGTCGGGTAACTGCGAGGTCGGGCCAAATTCCCCTTCATCATTAATAATGTGGACCTTTTCTTGGTTAGTAATTTGAACGATTTACTAGCTTTCTGGTTCCAATTCTTCATCCTATGGTACCACTCTTTGATGGAGAAGCTAAGAAGCCAAATATGAGTTTTTTTTCTGATTTTTTATGTATTTTTGGATGGCAACAGTACTGTCATGGTTTTCAAGAAGCTATGTTTTCTTTATTTGAGTCATTGGTAGATTTCCTAATTGCATTAGGAGTTTGTTTTTAATTTAATTAGGAGTAACCTCTCCTAATTATACTAGGAGTAAGTTTTCCTAATCTGTTAGGAGTTATCTTAGCAAGTCAGAGTTATAGTTCAAGGGTTGAGATTTGGGAAAGCTGAAAACTAAAAGACATGATTCTGGAAAGGCGAATCAAAAACCATTATATAATGGCTAACCATAGTGAACTGGGTGCCTTGCAGTATAGATACATACTGAAAGAGATAAGAAGAAGCCTTATGAGGGAGTTAAGAGAATCAACCAAGTGGTTAAAGATGCAATGGCTAGACAAGGAGTTGACAGGAATAAGACTTTTTGGGGACAAATAAGTTACACTTGGAAGATGTAATGTAAAAAAGGAATGTGTGAGGGTTTGGGGGGGTTGTCTCAATCTTCTTCTTATAGGACTGTCAAGGGAGTGGAGTTTTTTTTGAGTGGCTGTAATTTATTATTATTATTATTATTATTATTATTAATTTATTTGTTTTGTAACTCTACATGTGCACCTTGTACATTCTGCTTGTATTAATAAAATTTAACAGTTACTGATAAAAAAGTCAGATTTATAGATCTAAGCCAAGATTTTCTTATTCCTAGTCCGGAGTCAACTATTTTTTTGTCCTATTAGCATCTCTTATTTGGTTTCAGAGTAGGAAAACCAGCAGATGTTGCTATTGATCTGACTTTTGATTTTCCTAGATACCCAAGTATCTAGAGTGGAAGCTTAGAATTCAAGAAATATTTTGATCCTTAATTACACTTTATGATAGAGTTTTAAAATAAATCACAAAATTCTATGCGTAGTGGACTTCAATCATAGCAGTGTATTGACAAATTAGTCATTATAATGTGTCGTGTATTTGTTGTTCTATTCCAATGTGTGTGTGTATATATATATATATATGAAGGGTTAAATTTGTCATTTTGAAGTTCTGTATTGTTTAAATGGCTTTCAAATTCTTGTCTTATAATTGTTTATGTTATATTTTGGGAGATGATAAAGTAGAAATCTGCTGTATTAAAAAATATGAAAGAAAGTAGTTTCTTGAAGAGAGAAGGAAGAGAGAAGGAGAAGA